ACACTGTAACAAGCGTAAATAAGGCTGGCTTATTTCTGATGAGGCGCTCCTTTGTGTATTCTGAGGCCATGTGAATATCACTTAAAAGCGGATGATGCTACAAACTGCTAAAAAAAAAGCATATATTGTATGTATACATAGCTTGAAAACTGATGGACTTTAAATGAAAAATTTTTGTTATTTGTGAATCAGAGAAGACCAGCTATAACGAGCAAAACTAAAGAAGTGCTTAATCAGAAAAGGGAATTGTGCTGGTTCTGAGTGCTTTGAAGTAAGTTTAATGTGAAGATTGGTGGTGTTTTCTTCCAGTTGGTCTCAGCATTTCATTTCCTGGTGTATAGCCTGTGCAGGATGAAAGAGCAAGTGCAAAGCCTAAGTTCAGTAAGTGCTGAAGTCTCTGGAAGCTGTTGGAAAGCATATCTACATTCTGGAAGCAGACTTCTACAGTCACTTCATCCCAAGCAGCACTGGCGGGCATGGTGTATTTGTCACTCTGATTTCCTTAATTGGCTTCACACATAAATTTACTATCAGTAGGTTAGCATTTGAAATATATTTCTTTTTTTACAGTAATGGACTACTTCTGAAAGAACCACACTTCTCATGGTTAAACCCATTATTTTATTCACTATTGCTAATGTATAGGGTCTTTATACTTCCAACTGATTGATTGTGTAATGGATGGATTTTTTTGTAATTTATAACTTATAGTGTAGCTTGCGTGTGCTTGTCTTTATGATTCTGGACAGGAATGAAAATCATGGTTTCTACCTGACATCCAATCAGTAAAAAATAAAATAGTTTCAGGATAAACAAAGCAAGGATAAAGGATTTTGGTTTAGAAGATATACAAATGCCTTACTTCTCTTCCAGTTACTTCTGGGAATAGCCACGAGAAGAACTTTTCTCCTGGAGGATATCAGCTCCTCTTCTTGTTGTAGTCCAAAAATCAAACTGGGAGATGTTTTTAGACATTCAAAAAAATATAGGATACTAGAATTAGGGGAAAGTTTTGAGGCAGGTTCTAGAACTGGTCTTTCTCATGAGCTAAACGTGTCTTCTCATCTCTGATAAGTTTAGGCACACAGTGCAGCCATTGCAGATAATAAAAATGGAGCATGTCATAATGTTTTACACAATTTTAGAGGATATGGAGAAATGCACATTTTTGATATCACTCTTCAGTTTCTTTTGCAGTCATGAGTGTAATACCTTTGTGCAGAAAGGTCTACGGTTCCTGAGCCTCCCTAAATTTGCTTTGGCACGTGGTACTTCAGATAGCACAGGACACAAAACATTTCTGTACCACATTTACAAGGTGTATTTAAGACACCGGTCTCAAGAACCCTAATTTCCTCTTGGACTGGTGACTGGGAGTAGTAATACAGACCAGAGAGTCTATTCAGATCATTTTACTTTTTCTGTTGTCATCTTCTTTTCCAGCTTGCTTTCTCCACATGCTGTAGCACCATGAGAACCGCAGTTGCAAGATATGTTACGACAATGCATGCACTGATTACAGGCTAGAAATATGAATAGAGAATACCCATATGCTGAAACTGCCAGGGAAGAGGGGGTAATCAGGGACGTTTGGTAAAACACTGACTGACACCTTTGGAGAGAGATGATCTGGCCTGGCTACAATATCCTGCCTGTGTCCTGTAACAGGGAACACATCGAGGCAGCTCTCTTTACTGGGGAGAGTGCAGATAGCACTAAAATGCCATGTAGGATGTAATGGCATTTCTCTTATTTTGTATTGTAGTGATGATGGTTTCATCCGAATTTCAAACTCTTTCAGAAAATCCCAGAGCACAAAGTTCAAGTGAAAGGAAAGATTGCTTATAAATATCTTGCTTTATTGGGGAATTTGTTACAGACAGAGCAGGCAGTTTTGTTTAAATAAATTCTATTGCTACTAGAATTTAGGATCCATGAGGCCTTTTGGAGCAAATAATTTTTTTGTTGGAGTGTCTCCTTGGTAAAATAGGCCCTCAGACTTCTTCATCCTCTACAGTGACCTTAGTTTGGATATTGAGTGGGGAGCAGCCTTTTATTTTCCCACGATTCAGCAATCCGTAGCCAACAAATATGAAAGTTCTGGCTGTTATCAACCTCTTTTAAAGAACAAATGTCAAAGCTATCGTGTAGAAGTTACACACACTTGAAGTAGCTTTCTTCAGGGGAGATCTGACACACAGACATTGCCTCTTCCAGAAATTAAGGGACTTTAAAAATTTCCACTTTTTCTGCATGAAGTGCAGGAGGGTTCTCTTGGACCTTGCCTCATGTAACAAGAGGAGACAAACAGGAAGGTAGTGATTACAACATAGAGAAGGACAGTGCTGCTAACTGTGTTTCTGTCCATATTCAGTTATCTATCAATGTAAAGAAGGAAGCACATGCAGTAGACGTGAGTCAGGTAGCCACACATACTCCTGGAAAGTGCTACAATGACAGTGACAAGAACAGTATATGAACTAGTGCAGACAAGCAGTTACTGCAGAGGATGGGAGGAACAAGTCTTAGTTTCATCCCAGATTGAGAGGAAGACTGGCAGAATTTCTGCTGCAGGTGGGTGGGATGTACAGTTGTACTGCTGAACTTAACAAATGTCCACAGAATGCCAGCGGGTTGGGGGTGTTGTGGCTCATTTGGAACAGGGATGGCTTGGGATAGAGTTGTTACAGCAAAAAGCTGTAAGACTGTGAAAACAGATATTCCACACTGAAAAATGATGTTACCAAAACAATAATAATTAAAAAAAAATGGGAATGTCTGAAGCCAGGTTCTGCAGGAGCAGCTGTTTGCTGGCTTATTGAACAATCTTTACTGCCATCTGTGTGTGTGCGTCTGCAGTATGAAAAATGATGAATTTTTGTTTTTTCTCCTGCTCCACACAGCTTGAATGAAGAGCTGAATTTTAACATACAAGCATTGCTGGGGGAGCTTGGGAAATGAGGTTGCTACTAATATACTTCATTTTTTATATGATTGCCTCGCCTTTCTTCTTACAGATGCAACTTTGACACAATAGTCCAGTGACTAATCAGCCTGCCCTATAAAATCAGGGTCTGCAGTGAAGATGGTTAGTTCTTCCTGGTTCCAACTGGGTTAAAAAATACAACAGGAGAAAAAAGGTCAAATAATCTAGACTTTCAGAATATCCAGGAAGGATTGAATCCTGTGGAATGAAAAGGAATGGGCAAAGGTTTGTGACAGTGCTTTGATTCCTTGAGCAGCAGGAGGAAAGCCACATGTACTGATCTCCTGGTCTAGCCTCTGTGTGGGCGTTCTTGTTCTATAGACATCTTGACATCTTTATCCAATCTGAACATGGAATTTATTGCTTTTGTAGTGTGTCTCAGCTCCTATGTCAAAAGCAGCCTTGATTTATAATTGAAAAAGAAGCCTGAGCTTTTTTGAATTTCATGTTTAAGAATCAGAAGTCTTGATTTCTTTTTCTTAAACATGAAACAAAAACCATACAGGCATTAACTGTAATCCCAGATGAGCAAACATATGTGACTTTGAGTCCTGAACCTGTGAAACTTTATGGGTGTAACCAAGGCTTCAAACCAAGGCCAACCTATGGCTTTTAAACTTTGACTCACACTGGAAAACTAGAAGGAAAGAGTTTCTCCTCTTAAGGACTGTTGGGCAAACTCTGTGAAATGACAGTCACAGTTATTTATTTGTACAAGTTTGCTGTGGGATGTATTGGGCCTCTGGCAATCAAAGTGGAGGCAGAAGGTATCTGGTAGAGGGGACTTTGAAGCACATCATGTGGAGATCTCACTGAGCTGCCTTTGGGCTCCTAGTACATAGAGCCCATGGTTACTTATGTTTAAGAATGCTTTTCCTCCATTAATATGATTTCCCTCTTGTCCTTACCCTCATACTGGCTTTCCTAACTGTCCAGGGAAAATGTAAGACCTGGGAGTGTTTCAAAAGGGTTTTTAGATTTGTGCGTCCTAAGTTTGAATACAGCAGCTGCAGGAACACAGTGTTGCTGCATTTTTTCCTGTTCTAGAACAAGTTAAGGAGGCTACACTGACCACAGCAAGAAAGTGAAGAGGAAACAAAGCCATAAGAGTGGGATACCTCAATCTCCTGTCACATCCCCAGTGTGGGCTGGGATGTCAGTAGATCTTTTGCTTTAGATTTAGTATTGTTGAAGTGGAAGGGCTATACAATGGTTCTGCAAAGTTAGCAATCCACGCAAAAATGCTGAGACACAAGGGACCAAGGCCATGTCCGGTTGCATGTGTCTCTTAGACCATGGCAGAGGGATGTGTAAACTAATCGTGTGTAGTCCAGATGGGTATCAAAGGCCCTGTAGCTCAGTCAAAGCTGGGAGGTTGATACAGAAGTTACAGCATGAGAAATGTTACAGCCTTTGTTAGGCAGGTCTATCGTATGATCACAATAGCTTGCTATAATTCATGAAAAGCTACTTATTTCTTCCATTGGAAGCGTGGAGGCCAGAGGGGTTTGTAGTCTGAGTCGAGAGTATACCACACAGTGCAGCCTATCTGATGGGTTGCATGATCTGACTATGGAATTGCAGCTAGGAGCAGAATTGTGCTTTGTACTTATGAAACAGCTTTTATTCAGGGCTTGTTCTCTGGGGAATGGATGCAAAACATCAGAAGAACAAGATGCGACTCTCCCTAGTGCATCATGTTTGACAAATTAACTTTTGACCTTTCAGTGGCTTTGTACAAATATGGGAGCCTCTGTCTCAGTATAAAGGATTTCAGGTTATTAGGAAGAAGAAATTTTTTCTATTCCCCTTTGGACTGTTATGCCTTTGTGAGGTACAAAGCAACCTTGATATATGCAGCAAAATAAATACTGAAAACCTGATGTTTTTGTATTTCTGCAGTGTAATGACTGGCTTATGAGAAAAGCTCAGGGATAGTAATATGAAAAGAGTCTTTTATTTTTGACTTCCAGTACTGGATAGGAGAGATTAACTCTTTTGTGCTTATTTTCAGACTGGATATTTCCATCTGCCCCATGGGGATTACTTCATTGAGCCCATTAAAAAGCATCCACAGAAGGAGGGAACACCCCATCCCCATATTATCTATGAGGCAAATATCCTTCAAAATGCTTTAAGGAGAAGACGGGCGATCCTGATGGAGAAAGAACAAGCATGTGGATTGAATGGTACAAATATTGCTGGATTTCTGCCTATTTACTTTCTGCACCTTTTTAAGCAGCTTTTATTTTCCAGTGGTGTGTGCCTTTCCTTCTGCCAGGCTTTCTTAAATCCTGTAAAAAGAGATTATATAAAATGAGAACATCTCAGTCAAAACGCCTCAGGAGCCACCCCTCTGGGTTCCTTCCTGAAAACTTAAATCTCCCTTATGACTGCTGGGATATGTTTTTCACACCATCGATCCTTTCTACCCCTCGCTTTTTTCTCCATCCAGAATTGTTCAGTGAGTTTGAGTTGAATTCTTGAGTAGTTCTGGGATGATGAGAATTGCAGTCATTATTATTTCTAATAAAATATTCATTCTCACTCCATGCAAATACTGTCCTCAACATAAAATACTCCCCCCTCTAATCCATGGTTTAAACTTAGGATTTCTAGAATCTCTGTGATAGTTACTAGAATATTTAAAGTCTTATTTGGTTGGTCTGAAAGTGGAGTGCAGGGCATCAACAGCGAAGTGTTTTTTGCAGAAGTCTAAGTAAAAATATTGGTGCACTAATACTCAGCATTGTGTCTTTTGGGAAAACAAACTAATACACTATCCTGGAAAGGAAGACTGTATCTAGAGGGTAGTTGGCATCTCGTAATTACAAAATTAGTTCCTTTATTAAGTAAAGTAATTCACTTGATTGACCTCATACCAAAAATTTACAGATCTTGCATTAGTTCTCTGATGTTGAGGCCTTCAAGCTGAGTCTGCACCAAACTTTAGAAAAGATACAGTATTGGTAGGGAGAATGAATAATAACCTAAATGATGTAAGGCCCAAGTTATGTACAAATAGAGCTGCAGAATACGCAGGTGTGTGTTTCTGTCTTTCACAGGTTAATGATCAAAGAGTAGCTGGTTCTTTTCCAGGGGTGGAAAAAAAGGAGGAATGTAGGAATTTTTAATCTTCAGTCACTACTGCTGCTGAAGTTTTACTGCTCTGTAATATGAATTGATAAATTAAAGAAGCAAACAACAGCTCAGCCCCACTATATTTCTGGTCATAGACCTGCTTTGCACTTCTTGCTTGCTGGCCAAGAGCTGTGTGAAATGATAGGTGGGGAAGACTAGAAAGCTGATGGCTTGCAGGGAGCTATTCAATCTTCTGTGATACTGGGAAAGTGAGGATAAGGGGAAGCTGTAAGAATTAATATGAATACTGTTCCTTATTATTCTTCATCAAATAAAAATATATCTACTTGTTAGACAAAAAAGCCTGAAATTCAAAAGCCATGAACATCTGAAGTTGATGTCTATTTTGGCTTAAATCTAAAATAGCTCCCTGATTTTCCATTTCTTCTGATGACTGCTGGGACAAATGAGAGGACTTAGTTTAGATTTGCCTGTAAAGAATGAGGAAATTGTTCTTGCCTACTGTCTTCCAGGTTTCTTTTTTGGATAAAATAACATCACTAGGCCATAATTTTAAGTATAGAGAGGAAACAGGAGATACAAGAGATCATGCTGTGTATTTGCTTTGTGTAGCCTGCTTATTTTTTTTCTACCTCTCACTTTTTACCCCTTGTATCTTTCTTCAAAATACTGCAGAATGAGACAGAAAAAGACTGGCTGTACCTGGATGCTGGAAAAAATTGAGCATAGCTTCCCTGACGTATTATCACTTAGACCAGCTATGTTTGCTCTAATAGGCTTTTGGATTTAAACTGCCTGTCTAATGTTATTCATTCTAACGTGACAGAACTATATCTGGTGGTAATAATATGTTCATGACATTCCAGGTAACAAAGGGAGTGTCTTATGAACTAACTAATACACTTTCATTTATGTCTCTATGTTTAACTGACTCTGTCAGTCTTTAGAGGTAATGTCTACCTTTGGTCAAGCAGTAATCTGCTTGGCTGTCATAAAAGTTAAGTAATCAGTAAAACATTTCCTTCATTACATTTTTGCCCTTTGTGTGACAGGATATAATAATCACTGGTTCCTCTGAATGCCTTATGCTTTGTTATCTCACTTCTGTTGTAGCCAGCTCTTCAACAAGGGTAGAAAAAAGAAAGAAGTCAGTGTCATCTCCTGTTTACACTATGCATTGTCAGAGCAATTGCTCTTGTTAGAAGTGAAATACAGAGCAAAAAAGCAAAGTGAGTTAATTCTTGCTTTCTGTGTTAAATATATTCACGACATAGGCTTTGGGGAATACTCGGTACATAAATACATTTTAAAGGTGGTAAGGTGACTCTTCCCCCTTTTCAAGACCTCAAGCAATTCATACTGTTAAGTTTGATGCCAGAATTCTGGTACACCCACATGATACCACACATGGCCCAGAGTAATGCCTTTTGGGATCACTTTAAAGCAGAACAATTTCAATTTACAATTCACATTTAATTCTAGAAATGAATTCTATTTTACAGATTGAACATCATGACTATTTTGTATTTTAAGCCCTAGCTTTGTCCCCATTGGGCCAGGGCTTAACTGATGAAGAGTTGCCTGCCATATCTTTTGTAGGAACTGGTTTTCAGAATCAAATATTTTAATCTTGTGGGCTGAGATTCATCATACAGAGTGTCTAATTTGTTTATTTGAGCTCTGATTCTGTTAGTTTTTTAAACTTAAGCTAAGACAATTAAGTCATTTCTAAGACTTACACTTGGGAAATCCTTTGTGTGCCCAGGTTAAAATGTAGTGATGTCTTTTTGCTTGGAAAAGTTGAACCACCTGGATGCTTTCAAGTCAGTGCACAAAGTTGGATAGTGATAATAATAATCTTTTAGTCAGAACTAACCTGTCTGTCAGGCAAGGAGCGTGAAGACTATTTGTATCGGCAAAGTCAAAATAGAGGAATTAGTCTGGGAGGGAAGAGGTGGAGGATGCTGACCTCCTGTGCAGTCTTTTTCAAGCTTTTTTTTAATGCAAGGACTGTGTCACCACTTGGAAGAAGCCCTGTGCAGCATGCTCATGACTTTTACTGGGGCAACAACCACAGAAATCTTCAGGCTCCAACCTGCTTGTCATCTGTGTCATCTACATACAGTAATACTTTAGCATCAGTTACATTCCTGTGCTCTTACAATGATTATATTAATTAGTTTATAATTTGCAGTATTTTTAACAGTTTCAGATATTTGGAGAAAAATAATTGTGATAAATGATGTAAATTAAAGTTTAGTTTTGTGCTGTACACTTCTATTGCTGCTTAGGCAGCTGCCAGGTGACTCAGTCATTAGCTGCATGCAAAACTGAGGGCTAATCATGAAAGTAGCATTACGATACTGTACATTGCAAGCTGCTGTCTTACTGTATCATTTGAAATCTGTGTGAGAAGTAGCAAAAATGGTAAATGAAAAGTGGCCCTGAGCTTTACAGATAATTTCTCTAGTCATTTTTGCCTGTAGGATAGGAAACTAAAGATCTGGGGATTTGATTTGTTTTTTTTTAAATAGATTATCTTAAAAATTTGACAGTGTTCCTGAGATATAATGCAAAAGAAGAGGAAGTATCCTCACTTCTGCAGATTGAGAGAAGATCTCCTATTTCTTTCCGTTTGTTTTCATCAGTCTGCCATAAGGTATTGGTTTGTTTGTGAGTTGCAAAATGGAGAAGTTTTGTGAAGTTTGTGAATGAAAATGCTGTGATGTAATGGAGCCCTTCCTGACTAAGTGCTACAGAGGGGACTGATACAATATGAATAGATGGACATCTTTTTTTGGACTGGTGAGGTGGTCAGGTTGCTGTCGTTTAGAAGAAGGGTAATTGAGTTTATTCAGACTGCAACCCAGTGATTGCTGCAGTAGTCTGTAATATATTAACTAAGGAAATAAATGTTTAGGGTATTAAAATAGATCTCTGAGAATACTTCCTTGGAGCTTTAGGTGTATGGAAGTTGTCATATGCTTTACTCTCATTTTAGCATTGAAAAGATTTGATAGATGAGCTCCGCACAGATCAAAAGTTAGGATTAGTTTGGGTTGTACATGGATGCCCAACTCCTTGTCGGCAGAGGGGTTATAAATCTTATAACTGAAAATTTTGCATTTGGAGCAGTCTTGCATTGGAATTGTGATGGGATAAGGCTGGGGTGGGAGGGAGGAGACAGAAGCCAGATGCTGTGTGAAGCAGAGGGGTGAAGGGAGCTGAAGGAGCAGAGCAACATCATCTGTGCAAAAATGTTTTTTAAGTCTTTTGAATGATGGCTTAGTGGCATAGTTCATTTAACAGGCGACTAGAATGCCATTAAGCAGTTTCAGACAATAGTTACCTGTTGTTCCTCCTAAGGATTATGTCTGAGTGCAAGATTTTATTCCATCATGGTCTTGCTTTTTCATGATTAACTTGATACTGCCAGAAGATTCTCTTCATTTTTCTGTCTGCAAGTGTACAGCATAAACTGTTAGTCTTGGCTTTTGACAGTGAAGTCCTTTGTTTAACCACTTGGAAGAGAGAGAGAAAAGAAGCCCAGGACACTGTTTTATTCTCAAAGGATAGCCTATCTTTTTTGTTGTTGTTGTTAAGAACTTTGTAGCCAATGTAAGCAGCCTTGCTGTTGGCAGAACCCCTGGTACATGCTGTGTAGCTTCCATATTTTTTAAAGAATGATGCTGACATTTTTCCAGTATTTGTTTATCCTGTACTTAACCACATCAATTACTATTCAGCTTAATTTGCTTAGTTTCTTCAAAACACAGAGACTATTATTCTTGGGATGGTAAGTTCACACGTTGAATTGTGGTGAGATTAATTCAACGTAGAGGGAAAAGCATCTTTTTCCCTGCATCCCTCTGCTTTCTATGAACAGGCTCTACTAACCTGTTTAAAAGCTGCTTGCCATGAAAAAAGAGTGAATAGATATATTCAGTCAGAATGACCTGTATTGTAAAGTAGGAACAACAAAACAAACAGCTTGCAGCAGTACATGGAGTATCTCTCATCTCTGGAACAGTTTGCATTGAACTGAAAACAGTGAGTGCCTGCTTGTGCAGGCAGCAGGATATTTAGC